GAAAGCCAACTTTGGAAGAGATGGAGGAATCGGGCTCTTTATTCCATCTATCCTGTCAACAGGGCCAATCCCCCATTAACGCTATCCACTGATGTGGTACTGCTCTAAGTGGAAAACCCATGGAACAGCCATACCCAGTCCATTTACTCAGTCACTTGGAAGAATCGGATTGCTTTGAGGGATCAGAATCCGAAAACACTCTCGGCAGTGTTTCATCATAAAAGTTAAATGAGAGAGAAGATAAAGCGATGAAAGAGGAGGAACATAAATCAAAAGCACTTGATGAGCGCTAGCCTACTGTTTGCCCATTAACTTTTTATCAAATTGTGACGCTGATGAAGCAACAGATACTTCAAGACTCTAGAGACTGCTTCTGAGTGTAAATGAAATCGATCTCTATTTTCATCCCTAGCCATGATCCGGTAACGTAACTCAGGGTTTTATTTAGGGCTTCTTCTGTTTTCCTCACGTTCAGGGCTTTCCGGGATCCCAGGTTCTGTTTTTAGGAGAATGACGTCATTAATTTCCAAAACCCAATCCATCTAGGTGAAAATCCAGACTTACCTTACTTAATTCTGGCTACTTACTGAACTCTGACGTACTGCTTATTGACAATTGTATCATAGAAGTATTAAGGTGCTTCACTAAAAGTAATGTAGACAAGTTAAAGTGGTAGTTTCGGTCCTAACGAGTCGTTAAGGACTGGAAGTAAGGACATCAAGTTGAGGGCCTAAGGTCGACAATATAGGAGGCCATTAAAGCTGGGAGTTTAGCTTGTTCTCGAAAGGGGGCGGGAAGCTGCTGAGACAGAATAACAAAATAAAATATCCCATAAACTCTTCAAAACCCCGATTTACATTTCCCCGTTGACATGCCAAAACAACCTCATTTATTTTGAGGAGAAGCCTTGAATGTGAGGAAAACAGACCAATGATCGATAAAATTCTGGAGGCGTAAAGCACTTTCACAATTGTCTCTGGTGGACCCATTGACTTCGTGGACCGATTACTACAAACAACGCTGAAAAGTACGTGGGCAACCTTATACGTCGAAGACTTTAGGAGATTTTCTCCGTGCAGTGAAAAAAGCAGTCAACCTTCAGGCTGGTGGAACAGTTTGGTTTTTAATGCACTGTTTAGGGAAAAAGTAGACCCAGTTATCCACTGAAAAAGAACTCGTCATATTTACGAAACATAGAACTGCTAGAATTTTTTGTAATAAATGTGGTGAACGACGAAAAATTCAGCTGAAAACTGGACGTCTGAAAATGAGGAACCTGCTCAGCTGATAATTACCACCACCACTTACTACTATCACTGAATATTGCTACTTTTTGAGGTAGCTAACAATGACAGGATTCATAAGGATGTACTTCCCACAAGATTCTAACTTTAGGGAGCTATTTCTGATGAGTAAGAGGCAATGGGAGCCTCGTCGCCAATGGACACTCCGCAAATATTAATAGCTTACCTAATAAAACGTGTAACTTCTTGTGAATTTGTAATTCGTTGTTCTGTTAAATATTTTATCTTACTCCTGTCACATGAGAATTACTGCGTATTTAACTGCGATGAAAGCTCAGCACTTCCAGAAGTATCGAAAGCGCTTTACTCCTACAAAAATACTTACTAGTATTTCTAAAAGTTTCTTTTCATCGCAATATCCCATGGAACCGGCATAATAGTACAGCTCAAGTTGTTGATATGGTTTTTTCCTTTAAACATAACATTATTATCACCGTTATAATTATTATTCATTATTTATTATTATTATTTATTATTATTATTACGTCATCATTGGGAATGTTCTCGCTGAAGAAATTTGAACCAAAGTTTCGGAGAATTCAATGCGTTGAACATATGATCAGGTAAAAGAATCGGAGACTGGGGCAGGGTACACCAGCCGCTGTATTACAACCACTTATCCACCCTCCATCTCACACATCCTCTCTGGACATTTCTATCGTTATTGCGCGAAATTCATTGCAAGGCTTCACTCCCACTTCTGCAATCCTCCCCGAAGGCCAGGGAGTTCATCTAGGGGAATTTGGGAACTTACTCTTTACGAAATACAAAAAGCAGTAACGTACAGAAAGCAGAACACCGTTGAATGATGATGAGCAGACACAAGAAGACTGGAAACTACTGATTTCCGAGAAATCTATTGGCATACTTAGCGAATGCTCAGGAAACCAGTACCCCGCCAGTCGCGCCCCGAATGCTGAAAGGGCGCGGAAAAAGATGGAATTTAATCCAATTCACGTCACGGCTGTTTATTTGCGGATTGAGGGCGGAGGAAGAGGAAGACTGGAGTAATCTTAATTAATCACACACAAGCATAAGACAGGAAACGACACACCCACGTGATAAGACTGTTACGATTTTACCAGTACAATTATATAAGTACAGAAACTTCTTGCTCGAAACTTTTCGGGAAAAACGCC